CACAACGCTTCCTGAAGCCTGGGAGGAGGTGATCGATGACTACAGTGGGAAGGCCTACTACTGGCAGCCTTCCACGGGGCGTACGAGCTGGGTAGCGCCAGAAACCACTCGCGCAGAGCCGTCGTCTCACAGAGAGACAAAAGCCCAGGCACAGAAGAGGAAGCGGGAGAATCGCCGAAAAAAGGGGAACCCCTCAACCCTCACAAGGGAGCGAATCACGTTGAAGTACTTGGGGAAGCTGAACCTGAAGGACCAGCAGATAGGGGGACTTCAGGCCCTCCTTGCCAACTCGGTCACCATGGGCCAAATCCGGGATGCTGAGCGCGACAAGGCGCAGGAGAACAAGGGCGGGAAAGGGGTGGGGAGGTCAGGCTTGGGGGGGCGGAAGAGTGTTCTAAGTTTGCTGGCAACTCGAAGGAGGAGCGGGATCAGCTGGCAGAGAAGCTTCGCAAGATGGAGAGCTCCATGCTCAAGATCCAGATGGAGCTGGAGGCTGGGTCGTGAGTGAGGTACGGTTCAAGTTATCTATCAGTGACCAAGTCCTTCCATTTAAGATGCTGGCATCACACAAGTCCATGGCTTCAGAAAAGAAGCCTGTGCAGATGAGCCAGAAGATCGGCGCCGTGCAACTGACCCGCATCGAGGACTTGGAGAAGGACAAGGCCCTTCTCCAGGACACGTTGAAGGACAGTCCATTGCTGCAGTCAGCACACAAGCTCGGGTTTCGGACTCCACTGATTCCTCACGACCCCTGCCCCTGCCCATCAGGAGCAGTCCCGGTCGCAGACGACCCAGGCAGTCGAGGTGGAGGAGCTGAAGAAGGACCTCGAGCGACATCGGGGTCGGCGCCTGGAGCAGCAGAGCTTGGCGGAGAAGATCCTCGCGGATCGACGGACTCTGCAGGACCCCTGTTGCCGCCCCATTGAATCTGCTTGCAACAGCTCCTGCACTCTGTTGGCGAAAGGACCAGCTTGCTGCGGAGAAAGCCAGCACAGCGCTGGCGAAGGCACGAACATCCTACTCTGCACATCAGCGGGCTTACTCTGTAAAGGGGGAACAGCAGCAAGGTCTAACTATGCCCGCAGTCATGAAAGGCAGAGCTCCTCAGCTACCAGAAAAAGCACGAGGGCGAGGAAAAGATTTGGAAGGAGATCGAGGCGCCTGAGCCGGATGAAACCCAAACATGATATCAAATATAGACACAAACGTCATGCGCCAGGAGAGAAGCAACTATATGATGTTGAAGCACGATGTCATGGCCGACGAAATCGAGGAGCAGAAGGCCGGCCAGCAGGAGGGTGATATGTGCTGTAACATTGATGCCCAGAGAAAACAAAACTGGCAGCAAAACATCACACAAAACGGAGCCATAGACTGTGGAGACTCAACCAACCCTGTCCAATCAATGTCAGGTCTTGAACCGGGGCCTGCACAGCCAGCTGAAGGATGCACGCGATGAGCTAGCCCGCCTCAAGAAGGCCGGCAGCTGGCTTGGGCTTTTAGGGGTTGGGTTCTAGGGCTTGCAGCTTCAACTGACGATGGCACAGGAACTCGCAACTGCCCCAACCGAGCCGGCGATGAGTGGCGCGGAGGATATCAAAATGAACGCAAACCTCTCTCGCTCTCCCTCTCAAGCTTTCTCTTATCTTATGTGAGTAGTCTCTGCAGGACGATGAAGTCCCAACGGAGCTAGCCTCGCCAGGGGAGGAGTCGCTGCCTGGCAGAATGTATGAGCTCCATTTGTGTGAGGCTGTTGAAATCGTTTGCCTATTGGTATGCCTGCGGCTAAGGGAAGGATGATGCTTCGCGTCGCAAGATCCGTGGCTCAGGTATGATGAAAAAAGATGCAAGTGCACTGCTTTCCGATGCCCATAGCAAGAGTTTGCGACATCAGACACTTGCCCTCGCTCGAGGTGCGAGCCTGGGCGACTCGAGGCCTGGTCCGGAGGAGGCCTGCATCTTGAATAGACATAGTAGTAGAAGGAGTACGAGGAGAAACAGGAAGCAGCAAAAACAGTAGACATAGAAGGCAGATGAAGTAATAGCAGAAGTAGTGGACAATTTCATAGAAGTAGCTCTACAACAACAAGTAGTAGCAGTAGTAGCAGTAGTAGCAGAAGTAGTAGTAGTAGTAGTAGTAGTAGTAGTAGTAGTAGTAGTAGTGGTCGTAGTCGTGTAGCCGTAGTCATAGTCGTTGTTGCCGTTGTTGTTGTCGTAGTTGTCGTTGCTGCTGTTGTTGGTTTTG